ACAGTGGCTAATATAACTCGCGGTTAAACAGTGGCTAATATAACTCGCGGTTAAACAGTGGCTAATATAACTCGCGGTTAAACAGTGGCTAATATAACTAGCGGTTAAACAGTGGCTAATATAACTCGCGGTTAAACAGTGGCTAATATAACTCGCGGTTAAACAGTGGCTAATATAACTCGCGGTTAAACAGTGGCTAATATAACTCTCGGTTAAACAGTGGCTAATATAACTCTCGGTTAAACAGTGGCTAATATAACTCGTGGTTAAACAGTGGCTAATATAACTCGCGGTTAAACAGTGGCTAATATAACTCGCGGTTAAACAGTGGCTAATATAACTCGCGGTTAAACAGTGGCTAATATAACTCGCGGTTAAACAGTGGCTAATATAACTAGCGGTTAAACAGTGGCTGATATAACTCGCGGTTAAACAGTGGCTAATATAACTCGCGGTTAAACAGTGGCTAATATAACTCGCGGTTAAACAGTGGCTAATATAACTCTCGGTTAAACAGTGGCTAATATAACTCTCGGTTAAACAGTGGCTAATATAACTCTCGGTTAAACAGTGGCTTATATAACTCGTGGTTAAACAGTGGCTATTATAACTCGCGGTTAAACAGTGGCTAATATAACTCGTGGTTAAACAGTGGCTAATATAACTCGCGGTTAAACAGTGGCTAATATAACTCTCGGTTAAACAGTGGCTAATATAACTCTCGGTTAAACAGTGGCTAATATAACTCGTGGTTAAACAGTGGCTAATATAACTCGCGGTTAAACAGTGGCTAATATAACTCGCGGTCAAACAGTGGCTAATATAATTCGCGGTCAAACAGTGGCTAATATAACTCGCGGTTAAACAGTGGCTAATATAACTCGTGGTCAAACAGTGGCTAATATAACTCGTGGTTAAACAGTGGCTAATATAACTCGTGGTCAAACAGTGGCTAATATAACTCGCGGTCAAACAGTGGCTAATATAACTCGCGGTCAAACAGTGGCTAATATAACTCGCGGTTAAACAGTGGCTAATATAACTCGTGGTCAAACAGTGGCTAATATAACTCGTGTTCAAACAGTGGCTAATATAACTCGCGGTCAAACAGTGGCTAATATAACTCGCGGTTAAACAGTGGCTAATTTAACTCGTGGTTAAACAGTGGCTAATATATCTTGTGGCTAATTATTGATTTATATACATTGTTTTGTATTTCTTGTTTTACTATCGATGTGAAAAGATAAATTTGGTATGTTTGATGTATCATACTTCCCTGGATTATATATTATCATTGAATATGACCTAAAAATCAACATAGACGGTGACATGCCAAAGAGTTTAAAGTATTTAAATCGTGATTAAGATAAACCAGTATCTACCTATGAAAACTCAGAGCGGACAAAACCGGTCAGCGGTACACATGTAAAGGTACAGTTTTTGACCTAACTTCAGTTTTTCAATACAATTAGTTAGGTAATTACTGAATTGATAAAGAAATAGCAACTGTTGTTAAAATATCGAGTTTACATGCTAAATAATGTACATTTCGGAACGATCACATGAATATGATTTTGAATACGAAGTTTTTGTAATTGAAGAGTCAAAATAATTTGATTTGATGCATACAATAGAACATGAAGACTATCACGTACATGTAAGTACTGATACACCCGAATGATAGAACAATTCTAAGTCGTTTATAGAAGAACACATTAAACCGCGCACTGTTAATCATAGACCATTGACAGGACACCACGATATGTAATATATCGTATATATAGCTATTCATTCAAGAGACTGATATCGATAGATTGTTCAACTTGATACCAATCACTGTATTGTAATATACCAAGTCACATAGGTCACTGGGTTACGGTTTACATGTGAGGGATCGTGCGTTAATTATCTAAAACAGTTTAAACACGATACAAGGCGCTGTCATATTTACTCGCATATCATATTTCTTTACGTGTTCTCAATGGCGGAGAGATATTCCTGTATTCATCCGTCTCTATTTTTCTTCTCCTAAGTTCTATCTATTGTGTATGCCTTTTGCTAAGTTCCTTTATTTTACATACTATGTGGGAAATATGACAAGTGTCAGGGATATCACATGAAATTGAAAGGAATCAAAATTCCGCCGATAGCATAACTTATTTCCTTTACATACATTCGTCAAAATACATTTTCATTAGACCGGTATAAACTGGTGATATTCTTATTAATAACTATTTCTTTCATGACGTCACAATGCATCTGATGCTTTAAAGTAACATTGACGTCACAACTGAAACAATTGGAACAATTCTTCAATTTCGTGTACGCGTTCGTTCATACGTAATTGATGTTACAAATGATGCTAACGTATAAGTGATTGCGAGATAAAACTGCACCAAACACGTACATATATGGATATCTACGCTGATAGTTTGTGTTTCTTAGGAAGAAATCGGTCTGTGTTGTCGTGGATTTGTATGATAAAACTGTTAAACCTATATTTTTGTATGGATGCGAGATTTGGGGTTTTACAAATCTACAAGTTATTGAGAGAGCTCACTTAAAATTTTGTAAATTGTTACTTGGGATCAAACGTAGTACACCATCGTTTATGGTATATGGTAAGCTTGGAGCTTATCCATTGAATATCTCAGTTAAAACGAGAATGTTGACTTATTGGTCTCTATTGATTAAGTCAAAAGAAAACAAACTTAATGTTGTAATGTATAAACTTTTATGTCATAATCAATATAATAATAATAAAATGTAAGTTATATCCAACAAGTTTTAAATAACTGTGGTATTAGCTATGTTTGGAATGTCCAATATATTCAAGATCTAGATACCTCATGGTTAAAATCCTATGTAAAACAAACACTTAACAATCAGTTCACTCAGCAATGGGAAAATGATGTATTTATTTCTTCAAAATCTAGTTGTTCCAGAATTTTTAAAGAAAATTTTGGTTTTGAAGGATATTTGGATATTTTAATAGATAAAGAAACACTTTTTGTAAATTCAGAACAACAAATCACAGGCTCATTATCGAAACCGGAAGTTGGAATAATACTGTCACGAAAGAATTTGTACTTTTTGTAATAGTCAACAAATAGGGGATGAATTCCACTATTTGATAGAATGCCAGTCACTTGCTGAGAATATTATTATACAAGACCGAATGTATTAAAATTTAGAGATCTTATTAACTCTAAACATGACAAAACTCTGAAAAAAACTTTGTAAATTTATTAGAATCATCTTTATTGATATGTGTACTCCATGATACAGTATAAATCATGAACTGAGCTGTTTCGGTTCTATTTTTGACGTTTTAGGATTAATATGTATATATTTGAATGGTATCACTTGTACTGCGCAATGATATGTTATGGTATACATGTGCAATATATATACAATATATTAATCATTAAGTAATAACATGTATACAAACTTATTATATCATTACTTATGTTGCATGTACATAGTATACAATGTATGTATTCATACTTACTATCTGGCTGAACAACTTTATTTAACTTTGTTGCTTTGTAAATATGTTTTCTCTGTACTGTATGGTTAAAGAGAAGTAAATAAATTGAAATTGAAAAATGGTCCTTTTGTAAAAACACTTTACCCTCTTTAATCTTATGGCATGCGACGTGCTCCCGTATGCAGTTCAGCGAAGTAGCAACCATTTACAACAAGGAAGACCGCACCTCAGAGTGACCTTAGCTGATCGCGGGCGATACCCCAGCACACAATCAAATCTGAACATACTCAGCGCGAGCTTCAAACACGCGAATTACCTGTATTTTCCTCACATCTCTCATTTCAAAATACATGTAGTTAATTGTATACTGACGGTATTTTATTTCCTTCAGAGTGATTTTCAATATTTTACAAATTCTTTGTCTCTGCCCATAGGCTAGCTTGAACAACTGTCGAGTATTCCTTGTCTAGATTCTATTTCAATACGTTAAGTAATTGTCTACTATAAATTTACTATTGCATTAATATTTGCTTTTGTATATTAAAGGAATTGTTTTGTCCGCCACGTCAAGGATATAGGCATTTTGGCATTGGCCTTGGTTATCATTTTTACGGTTTGCTAAGATTTGATTTAGATATTTCGTCAATATGTTATTGGAAATCTGCTTAAAGTCGTCAGCAAACATGGTGTCAAGCAGATTATTGTTGGGGCACTTATTGAAAACGACACGTTGGTAACTGAAGCACTTTATTTACATCATACTTAAATGTATTCTTGTCGTGTGACATCATGATTATTTATATCCATAACAGAGCCGAGAAGGATGCCAACCTAGGTTTTTGATGTTCACATCACCGAATGATATGAAGGATCACGACAACCATACGATGTGCTTCTGTCGTTATATATCATGAGAAACACTTAAACAGAATAATTTTAAACACTTATACAGGTGTACTTCCGCCATTATGTATCAAGAGGAACATTTACATATTTGTACATTGAAAGTCCGACCAATATACCATCTGAAACACACGTGTACCTTGCACTTCCGGCTTCTGTATTGTCATACAATCATATATTTACAAGACATTCCCAGCATCCCCAGTGCCTTCAAACATCTAACGAATTTTCCATTTTAAAATTCAATATTATTACTAATGTAATGAACTCCGACTTAATTTCAGTATGAATTCTTATATAATGAATCCCTGATCTTCAGCATTTCTGGCCTTCAGTATTAACCTAGAAAAATAATATAATGAATTTCTGGTCTTCCACATTTACCAAACACAAAACTAGCATTTTCGATTTTTAGTATTGACCTGAAAACTAATGTGATGAATTTCCGACTTTCAGTATAAGGATAAACACTAATTTCTGGCCTTCAATGTTTACATAAACCACTAATATAACGAGTTTTCGGCCTTCTGAATTAACCTGAAAACTAATTTAATGAATCCCTGCCCTAACCACTAATATCACGAGTTTCCGGGAGTCTATCTTAACACTAATAGAACGTACTTCCTACCTTTAGTATCACCATAAAAGCAAACGTGACTATAATCGTTGACCAGGAGAACAATACAAATAGAAACCAGTCTAATATTTCTGCAATCTGAGACCAGGAATACATCAAGAAACCTCTTCTTTGGTCGTACCCATACTTTCCTACGTGTCCTCCATTTGACGATTTCAAAGCTGTATTTAGATGTTCTTTCCTGTTCCGACAGCAGAAGAAGCCTTTCCAACATGCTCCTCTTGCAAACAGCCTCCTTGTCAGCTTATGTAGCCAAACAGGTACCGGCTTCTCTGAATCGTGGGATTGGATGCGGAGCACCAGTACCGTAAGCCCGACTGCCAATACTCCCATGACTAGGGTGTAGGCTAGGTATACCGCTGTGAAGCAGATCAAAGTTAATGAGGTTTTAGTAATGTTATGTGTGATGGAAAAAAGAAAAGGAACATACTTTCGGTTTGCCGGTAGGTTGAGGCGATAGAAAATATGTATGGTCAATTGTTATCTCTTTTTTGGTCACGCCATGACAAAGAAAAATATGCATGCATCTTTTCGTCATGGTAGGTCTGATGCAAATATCTATTAAGAAATCTTTATAATGAATTGCCAGTTTTACTTGTAATTTTTGTCTCATGCCATAGGTATTGAGGACAAACAGTAACTATGGATACTCACACAAAATTGATACATAGATTGACGTGCTGGGCATGCTGTCCGCTATTAGAGTTAGAAGCACGGCCAGAGCCAGTAAAACTGTTAGAGCGTACGACACCTTCTCGCCGGAATCCACCGGAAGTATGAAAACGAGGATCGTGAGCAATGAGGTAGTGATCACAGGGAGTATCACATTAGTGACGTAGTAGTCATAGCGACGAGTCAGGACGACGATGAACTTAAGAAGTGAGTATTCTTTCTCACCTTTACCGGTCGTCATTTTAATAACCGACGTCTCCACTCTGGAGGTTACATATATCCATTCACCATTTTCACTGGAGAGACAAGAACATCTGCCATAATAACAAACTTGACAAGAGTCGTGTAAATCCGGTTTTAACACGGAAGAAAATAACAAGATGAGGATTGATTATATGATAAAAAGATATAAAACAGTATATAATTACATACAGCATATTCTATCCGTCAGCAAATTTGAACTAAGACAAAAATCTGGAATGATTTTACTTTAAGTTGTTCCAAGAAAGATAATTTGTCCAAAAATACAAGGACTGAAATTTACACAAGATCTTTGACGCTGATGTTCTCCCATAGATGAAGGAGTTTCATTTCTTCTACCGTGTGAGCCGAGCTGGTGACGCCAATGGCACACTCCTGGGTATCAAAAGGATAAAAAGTGGTATCTACAGTACAGGTTGTGACGAAGATCCGTGGATGCTCCCAGTCAACTCTGCCGGTGTTAGATACTCGGAACAACGAATTACCCCCCTGTAGTATCGATACATCATCTAGGCTACGAACAAGAACATTTCATTAGAATCATGCAAATAGAATTATTGGTTTCTTAATCATATTGATTCAGACGTTTTGAAATCAATGTAAAATAATTTGTTTATATTTTGTAGAGCTAGAAGAAAATATTAGTATAACTGAGTCTTTGTTTGAAATCATTGCCATTATCAACCAACTTAAATGCCATTGTAAGAAATTCCTACACTAAAATAACACAAAATCCACACATAAAAGTAGATATCAAACATCATTTACACAAACTATCGGACATCGAACAAATTTTCCCCACATAATATAAGGCAAATGTTTACACAACTTTTAAAAACCAGTGTAAATTTGTTAAAAACTCACGAATTGTCGATGAAGAGCTCAGGTTTCCAAACGTCTCTGTCCGTGGCAAAAATTTGATCTACATCATCATAATTTGCCTTTTCCCACTTTAGCCGATAATCTCCCCATTCCTGAATGAAACCACAAGTATTTCTAAACCAAGTCATTACGTTTTAGTTTTTTTTACTTGGTTACAAAATTCGATTGTCTAGCATATTGTGTTCTTCAGTATCTTTGATACATTATAGCAATAGTCACGTTATAATTTGAATTCATGTTCACGTAGTTAAGCGGTATATATAGACATCTCCCTAAGGAAAAATTATTTTGTTCGTCATAAAAAATTGATGGGCCAGGAAAATAGTTTGATAAAAACCTAGAGAAATCACTTACATGTTTAGCCGTATCATCAAATAAACATTAGCAGGAAATTGTCATTTCATAATATAGATAGCTATAAATCCTTGATATGTTTTTGTAATAATGAACTTACCATAGTAAGCCAGCCCATGACTGTCATGCTCTGATCTATCATATTCTAAGAAGAAAAAAAATGAAATACATCTTTGGTTTAATACCCAAATTTCAACCAAACAATCTTTTCTGTTTAAGATCACAACTCTGACCCGTATGTGACTCGAAACGAATGCACATTTATTATTGTATCCATGAAATGAACGCCATTTTAACGCCGGTTTGTATTGCTTTATGAGTATGTTCTTCCTTACAAGCCATCTAATGGTGTTTACTTCTTGTATCTACATAAACTATATTTGTAGATCCAACAGGGTTGATGAGGAAGAATAGAGCGACTTTCCAAGGTAGTATTTTAACAATTGTTGAAACTTGATTTATCTTATAATAATTGCTAAACAAATACCCCAAGCTTATATTGGTCACCCTTGGTAGCCTACATTAAAGTACACGAGGGTTGTTACTGTGAGTTAACAGGAGAAACAGGTAAAGATATAGTATATATTACATGTATCCAACGATTTTGCTATAGTAGATAGAAAGCAAGACATGACAAAATGCAGGATTTACTTTTGCACGTGACTACATTGTAAGAATTGTACAAAAGACACACAAATGAATGACACCTTTCCATAATTTAAAGTGAGATAAAATAGAGCCAAACAATGAATCAAACTGCATTATACAGCTGTTTCGCCCTTCTGTGACTCGTCGGTGATGCTAAGGGTCTCACGTTTGAAGCTTAGGAGGCGACTAAGGAAAATCCAAAGTGATCAAAAGAAAATCGAAATCTAGACGTGGAGAAGCATCAGCCCCACAATTAGAGGAATGTCGTAATTTTCATAAATCAGATAATTTTGGAAAAGCGTCAAGTACATGTGTATTTTCTAAACCGTGCCACTATTTGAGTGAATATTAACGAGACAAGCAGAATTCAGCAAACCTGTTATGGTTAATAACATAACTGATATTTGTATTTTATTGTTCACCACAGCAACAGAGAAAATATACACTTATTGATTAGATGTAAAACAAGAATACGCCCTAACTCACCAGATCGTTGATTGACATGAGACTAAGGCCCACTTTTGCGGTCATGTTCGAGACAGGTCTGATGAATCTATGATAAACGTTACCGTTGAATATTGCCGTACGGACCTGTATCTCTCCCTGTGATGACCAGCAAGTCACACTACAGACTACAATTTAAAAAATGTGGATGTCAACAGGCATACTGATATCATTAGTAGTAAGTATAAATCGGAGGAAGATCGGCCCGAGTGACAAAAAACTTACAAGCGAGTAAATCAATTTTCTTTAACTACAGTGAAATCTATAGCATAGTTCTTTCTATTTTAGTATGTTATACTTACGTTATAAACCTATGCCTACTTACACTCGTAAAGCACTCGGTCAGTTACCAGTATAGGATCGCAAACATTTTCGGGAGCCTTTTAAAATATGTTATAACTTTAGTTATTTTTAAATAGCTGTAATTTTGAGGTTACCCCTTCTTCGCAAGTTTCTATTTTGTAAAAAGTCAATTATTATCAAAGATTATTGTCCTATGTCTTTACTGGATGACATTATTTCTCGACAACTCGAGTCTGTTGATTCCCATACAAACAGTACAACTTTGAAATTGTAACAGGATCGTATAAGCTTAATCATGGTAAGATAATTTAATACATTAGTTAATCTGACTTGTATAATAATGTAGCGTAAATGTGTACTGTAAAATGAATAAATAAAAAAAAAGCGATGTCGATTCCAGAATTCGGATAAAGCCCGAAGAAGCCTGAAAGATTCTCTGCAGATGGGAGCCGTTAATAAGACAAAGAAGGGGGAAAATAGTTCATGATTGGCGTAGATACAAATTGCAACATACAGGAAATTCTACCTGCTAATAATGTCATGTTAGAATAAGTTAACATAACGATGTTCACTTCATCAAATAACATCATGGTTTTCTTCAGGCTCTGGACGTTTGATCATAAAAACTTGCAAAACCTCATTAATCATAGGTCTGTATGCCGTTTTGGCACGAACTATATTACTTAGTCGTGTTCTGAAAAATATGACTGTCGACTAAATTAATAATAATAAAGGAACAAGCTTAGATAAAATTGAAGATAAAAATACTTATCTGTAAACTGAGATTTTGTTTTAAAACAGCTGGCTAGATATCGTTCAGTAAAAATGTTACAAAAGACTTGCCGTTAACAAAATTCATGTCAACAGTATAATCATAACTCCATGGGTGAGAAGAGTTATACAGATAAAAAAAACAGACAAGTGTTGATACGCACCGTGCAGCACAAGGTAGATAAGACTTGTCAACTTCTTATTCAGTGTGATTACACACATCTCGTGCTCCTGGTAATTTTTAACACGCCCAGATAGATAATCTGAAAACCGCATAGATACGTGTATAAAAATGAAACCACAGTATCTTTGCATGTACATTTGACACCGTAATAAAAACAGTCATAGTTGGTTAGGCATATATCAAATAACAACACGTAATATAACTGGTAGGGTGGTGGTATGGAAGAGTAGTGTCATTAATAAACTAACCAGAAAAAGGTGGTTTAAAGTACAAAAAAAAACACAGACATGATCGTGTTGATGCATTATTGCCGACACGGTAACTGATCTTCTCCGTCACCTATAAATACTGAAAATATGTAGGTCAATGTTCAAGTAATGGCCAATCATACATATATCAAAATAAGGAATAATTGAAAAAAACAGTCTATCATTCTTATATATAACGTATCTATGTTATATATCTCGTATCACTGTTATCTGTAATATATCATTGTTATATGTAATGTGTAATTGTTATAGGTAATGTGTCATTGTTATATGTAATGTGTCATTGTTATAGGTAATGTGTCATTGTTATATGTAATGTGTCATTGTTATAGGTAATGTGTCATTGTTATAGGTAATGTGTCATTGTTATATGTAATGTGTCATTGTTATAGGTAATGTGTCATTGTTATATGTAATGTGTAATTGTTATAGGTAATGTGTCATTGTTATATGTAATGTGTCGTTGTTATAGGTAATGTGTCATTGTTATATGTAATGTGTCATTGTTATAGGTAATGTGTCATTGTGATAGGTAATGTGTCATTGTTATAGGTAATGTGTCATTGTGATAGGTAATGTTTCATTGTTATATGTAATGTGTCATTATTATAGGTAATGTGGCATTGTTATATGTAATGCATCATTGTTATATTTATTGTGCCTTTGTTCAATGTAATGTTGCTATATGTAATGTGTCATTGTTATAGGTAATGTGTCATTGTTATAGGTAATGTGTCATTGTTATATGTAATGTGTCATTGTTAATCTTTGGTCCTATAGCTAAATAATTTTGATGTGATATTATGTGACCCATGGTATTTAGTAATACACTTAAAAAGCCACCATGGAGAAAACTACAGATCAGTGTGTTAAATATTGTAGCATTACTATATGTAATATACCACTGTTATACAGCTGTATGAAATATACAACCTGGAGTTAAGATGTCTTTGATATACCTTCTATCTAACAGTTTTATCACAACACACATAGGGAAAATATTTAGTACGAGTATAGTATGATATGACGTAGCGGGGCTGACTGACTGTTCTAAAGTCTCTACTGTTTTTAGTTATATTATAATATTACTTTCCATTATTCATTCCAATCTGTTAAACCCATAACGACCTTGATGTAGCCTCGTCAGAGGCTGGGTAAAACGGGTCACTAATCTCGTATGAAATGTAAAACACATGTGAACCATTGTATCTGTTAATCATCATTTCTATTTGTTTTGTGGTATATGTACGGTAAAGTCTTTTATCACAAACTACTCGTGTATTTCACTGTCTTTATACAATTGTTCTGTTTATTGTTGCTGAAATGAGTAAGTATAATTAGCCTAAGCAGGTAATATTACCTTTTATATTCTGTGTACAAGCCAAGTATGTAATGAAGGTACCGTCAAACCTGTACCTCCGTTACAGACAGCATCATAGCAACTCGTTGATATTAAAGGTTGATATATACAGCATAATTTATGAAACCGAATTACAATGAGCAAGGCTTTTGCGACTATACGAAGAGACGTCTTCATCCTGCCTTATGTCTAAAACTTCATTACAAAACGTTTATGACAAATCAGGATACAGTGTAGCGAAATCCTATTTAATACAAAATAACATTAGGTTCATTGGCTCAAAAGTTAGCATGGTTTTACTTGTTGATTCAAATCATTGTTTACAACATACTATTTGACAGAGGATCGAATGGTTGCAGTAATTATTTTAAATGGAAGGCAAGTAGCTATCTTCACATATTACACATTCCTTAACATTCAAGTCGACGTAAACCGTTGTAAATAGATGTTTCCGAGGTCCTACTGAGTTCACTATGAACAGATGTTTCTAAAGTTCTACAGAGTTCACTATGAACATGTCTATAGTTTTGTACAGACTGCGCTTTATTTTATGTTTTTTCCACATTATAGCAACTGCTATCTAATCCTTTAAAGTATTGAAGTTTATGATATAAACGAGTTCCGAAGAGTTTCCAAAGCTTATATCATTAATGAGCCAGGGGATTTACGTAATAGACGAGCTCCAAAGCTTACATAATTAATGAGTCAAGAGGTTTAGGTAATAAACGAGAGCCAAAGCTTACATTATTAATGAGTCAAGAGGTTTACGTAATAAACGAGTTCCAAAGCTTACATCATTAATGAGTCAAGAGGTTTACGTCATAAACGAGTTCCAAAGCTAACATCATTAATGAGTCAAGAGGTTTACGTAATAAACGAGTTCCAAAGCTTACATCATTAATGAGTCAAGAGGTTTACGTAATAAACGAGTTCCAAAGCTTACATCATTAATGAGTCAAGAGGTTTACGTCATAAACGAGTTCCAAAGCTTACATCGTTAATGAGTTAAGATGTTTACGTAATAAACGAGTTCCAAAGCCTACATCATTAATGAGTCAAGAGGTTTAGGTAATAAACGAGAGCCAAAGCTTACATCATTAATGAGTCAAGAGGTTTACGTCATAAACGAGTTCCAAAGCTTACATCATTAATGAGTCAAGAGGTATACGTAATAAACGAGTTCCAAAGCTTACATCATTAATGAGTTAAGAGGTTTACGTTATAACCACGTCTCGATGTTAATCTTATTCATAACAGGCGATTGTCCTCTAAATTCCAGTTGGCTGCATTTTTTTAATATTACTGGAGTACAATTAATGTCTTTTTCTCCTGGTCACAAGTTTCTTGATTTATTTATGCATGAGTACAGTTTTAAATGTAATGGTAAAATGTACACTGGGGTGTTTAGAGACGAAATACATTTTATTACTTGTTACATAGTCATCTGTATTACTTTGTTGTGCTAAAAAAGAAATAGTGTTTTGAAAAGAAGTTCCGATAGCAATCCACTTTTGAAAGTGAACATTTAATGTAGCGAGACTGGTTTAGTAAAACAAAACTCTGCAGGTAGTAATCGCAACACTACAACAGCATTCCTCTTTGAACTCTAGGATTTTTTTTTAAATTGCCTCGGGATTTCTTTTTTATGTATTTTGAAATATTATGTACTCCTTAAAATACTCTACAAGATCATCATCCCTGCATTCCGTTTTGTGGTTTAAATTTAAAATCTTAAATTACCGTTCTGGTATCTCTGAAGATCGTGACTGTATGTACACCAGGAAGCACATGTAGTATATATACTACATTAATAGGGACATTAAATATAATAGGGAGGAACATCATATAGGTAACAACCCTTTGAAGACTGTGCAGTATAATTTGTGTAACTTTTAAAATCAAAATGAATGGCTTTGTTTATAAAAGAAGAGTAATGTAATGCTCCTCCCTGGAGTTACTGATACTTTTGTCGCAACATGTTACATTATCCAAAATGCCTGTTCTTCATCAAAATTCATTAAAACGTTTTCTGACTTCGATGATTCATATTGGAACCAGACAAATTCCAGCCATGTAACAATAAACTGTCTAGTTTCGGTACTACGACCAACGTCTTCAAAACAAAAACCTCTCTTATCAAAATCGCATGGAATATGATTATTTTACATAATACCATTTCCTTATTGTTTGTATC